TTCAAAAGCCAGCCTCAGCAACTTATTGAGGTCCTGTCTCTAAGTAAAATATAAAAAATGGGCTAGGGATGTGACTCAGTGGCTAAGTACCCCTGGGTTCAATCCCCAGTGCCCCCCCAAAAAATTTTAAAGAATATATAATGGGAAGAGGCTGGAGTATATACTTCAGGGTAGAGTAAGTGTTTAGTATTTACAAAGCTCTAGGTTCAAAAAAGAATACAGAATAGGGAAAGGATAATGTCTTCACAAATGATGTTGGAAAAACTGGATATCCACATGCAAAAAATTGAACCCTTATCTTACATCATATACAAAAATAAAAAAAATGGATTAAAGACTTAAAAGTAAGACTGAGATGTAAAAATCCTAGAAGAAATCATAGGAGAAAGATTCATAATATTAATCTTGGCAATGATTTTTTTATGTCACCAAAAACATAGGCAACAGAAGCAAAAATACATAAATAGAATTACATCAAACTAAAGGAAGCACTAAGCAGAATGAAAAAATAACTTACAGAATGGGAGAAAATATTTTAAAAAACTAAATATATGATAAGGGGTTAATTTTCAAAGTATATAAGGACATATAATAGCCTAATAGCTAAAACAGAAAAAAAGAAATATTAATAGCTTGATTTTAAAATGGGCTGAGGACTTGAATAGACATTTCTCCAAAGAAGATAGATACATGAATAACAGGTATATAGAAAGATGCTCAACATCACTAATTGTCAAGGAAATACAAATCAGAATCACAATGAGGAAACACCTCATACCTGTTAGGATGACTATTATCAGAAAGATGAAAGATAACAAGTGTTGGTGAAGATATAAAGAAAACAAAATCCTTGTGCGCTGTTGGTAGGAATGCAAAAATGGTGCAATTGCTATGAAAAAGAGTGTGAAGGTTCCTCAAAGAATGAAAAATAGAATTATGCATGACCCAGCAATCCCATTTCTGGGCATTTATCAAAAAAAATTGAAATCAAGGTCTCAAAGAGATCTATGCACTCCTATGTTCCCTGCAGCATTATTTACAATACCCACAATGTGTAAACAACCTAAATGTCAATTGCTGGATAAAGAAATGTGGTATATACATATAAGGGGACATTACTTATCCTAAAAGGAAGGAAATTCCCTGTTAGGATAAGTAATGTTATAGTTATCCCATTTTTGTACAATGGATGAACATTGAGGACATTATACTGAATGAAATAAGCCAATCACAGATGGACAAATACTCCAAGATTCTGCTTATATGAAGTCTATAATAAAATAGTTAGCTAATAGAGGAAGAGAGTGGAATGGTGGTTGCCAGGAGTGGGGGAGGGGTAAGTGGTAAATGGGAAGTTATTAATTAATGTGTTTAAAGTTTCAGTTGTGTAAAATAAATAAGTTTTGGAGATTTGCTATACCATATTTTGCCTATAATTGTGCATTTAAATTGAGAAAGTAGATTTCATGTTGTTTTCTTATCACCATAAAATAAAAATAATACCCTCCAAATTCATTCCAACAGCAGAACATATTGAAAGCAAGTGGAAATATTTTGTGGTTGTTGCTGGCTAACTATAATGAGTTTCATTCTTTTGACTTCTTTTCTTTTTGTACTTGAGATTGAACCCGCCAGGGTGCTTTACCACTTAGCTACATCCCCAGTCCTTTTTATTTTTTATTTTGAGACAGGGTCTTGTCAAATTGCTGAGGGTCTCTCTAAATTGCTAAGTTACTGAAGTTGGCCTCAAACTTGCAATCCTCTTTTCTCAGTCTCCTGAGTTCCTGGGATTATAGGCCTGTGCTATCACACACACTAGCTAGGTCACCTTTATTTCTTAAAGAAAACTCAATCATATGCCTCATTTTCCAATGTTATAACAAATTAATCAGGAAAGGAAAAAATAAGTTGTTTTTTTAAAAAGTACTTTTTTAGTTGTAGATGGCCACAATACTTTTATTTTATTTATTTATTTCTATGTGGTGCTGAGGCTCGAATCCAGTGCCTCACACATGCTAGGTAAGCGCCCTACCACTGAGCCATGATGCCAAACCCAAGAAGTTCTTTGAATGCAGTGTTAGTGATGTTCTCTTTCAATGTGATAAACAAAAGAAAAAATTTAGTAGAGCAGATAAGAAATACTTAATAAGTCATGGGACCATGTAATAGAGATTTAAGTTACATAGTCCCCTTTGCTTATTCTGACACCTCAGGGCATAAGCAGTGGAAGAGACTCTACAAGCTTGCTCTTAGCTATCACAATTACATTTTAGGACGTTTTTCCAGAGTGATCACAAAGTCCCTCTGCATGCCAGTTACAAGTTGTCTGTGTATGCCTTTTCAGCCTTAGCACAATTTCAGTTTCTGCTCTCATCCCAAATTCATATGGATCTGAATGTGGATATGATTATGGACATGGATCTGATATTGTGTGGCTACTCTGACCTTCAGGTGACAATGTGCTCTGGGATTTTATGAAAGAAAAAAAATGCATTTTCCTACTTGACAAAAATAAAGTCTTCACTCTGCCCAACAATAGCTCAAGACCTAAAAAACACTTATTAGGGACTATATAACACCAACATCAAAGAAGCTGTCAGAAAAGTATGGAGAAAATGTAAAATATTTGCAGAGAATGGATACAGATAATTTTCATATACACAGATCATTTCCAATAAGTGTGCCTGGGGATTCTTGAGTTTACACAGAACATATGTCAAACAACAACAGAAACCCAGTTATTTGTTGAAAAAACAATTATCAAATATTAAGCTAATTGTTTGAATGACCAAATCCGTTCACTAGAACAATTTATCCTCAGTCCTCAAACATAGGCCTGCTTATTGTCCAGAAACTTTTTCCCTATCCAATTCAAACTAGTCCTCCATTACAAACCAACCAGATCTCATTTTTAATAATTTGGTTCATGGATGATGGCCACCTGGCTTTTGTTTGTCCTCCAATTCTATCTTCTTAGTTTTCCTCCATAAGTTCTAGTTCTTTTAATTAGCCTTATTTAAAAAAAAAAACAAAAAACAAAACAAAACAAAAAAAAAAAACATTTCCCCCTGGCTGAAAAGATGTTTCCCAAGCTGGTGGAAATTCCATTTTGATTTCCCCACACAGGATTTGGTGGAAATGAAGCTCATTTATATATTTTGTGAATTGTTGTGCAATGTCAGATACTACCTATCAGTCTTATGTTTGCTTGCATTCATGTGCGTGTTTCTTGAGGAAAGAGCTTCATGAAAGCACTTTGGGAATATCATTGTTATCCATGCACCAGTGGCTGACGTTTGTGTGGAGCGGGGGCATGTTGGAGAACAGTGTCTCTTTGGTGATGCTAATAAGTAGCACTGAGCTGGGAGGACACAAGTTGCCAGACCCCCAAGTAGGAAAGACAGAGTTCTCCAAGTGAGTTCCAGTTCTAAGTAAGCCAGGGTTGTGGCTAAGTTGGTATGAAAGGAGAATGAGCCCTTGGCATGCAAGGTGAATGTGCCTGAGGTTCTCTCTGGGCCCAAATGAAGTGGGAGATGGACATGAGGATGATACCACATTTGAGGCCAAGTTAGTGGGGGTTAAGCAATTTGTTTCTCTCCTCTTTTATTCCTCTCATATAGCTTTATATTCTTTCTAAAACTCAGACATCTAAACAGTCACTAGGATGGAGAGAATGACATAGTTGCCAGTGTTCTTCCTCTTTCCCCCCTCTGAGGTCTGAGGAGTATTTATAAAGTTAGGCTGGGGTAAGAAGACCTCCTGTTTAATGAAGGTGCAGTCCCTACAAAGCTCAGAATTGTCCTGAATATGAAAATATTAACTTCTGACACTACTAGGCAAATTACTGTTAATTTTGAGTATTTTTTAAACCAAAACTATAGCTATTTCCTTCCATTAAAACCTGCAGTATGGTCTAATTGTGTATTGATAATTTTAATAACACTACTAGGTGCTTTATAAGAAAGGAGGGAGTGGGATGGGGATATAACTCAGTTGGTAAAGTACTTGTGTCACATGCACTAAGGCTTTGGGCTTAATCCCCAGCACCACAGGAAAAAAAAGGGGGGGGGGGTAGTAAAGCCAAAAGCAGAGCATCTCCATATTCCCCATAATTATAAACATACAGCAGAAGCAATGCTCTTCTCTGTTAATCAGGGAAGAGAAGTGTATACCTAACTTATGTCTGGACCCCTAAGTCATTTAATTAGACCTGTACATTTGCTAGTGAGCAGTAACAATATAGCTTCTTAGCTGTTCTTTCTACCGTAATACAGAAGTAATCCAGGTATGTGTACCCATTGAGTAGACAACACTCTCCCAGTGGTTCAGGTGGCTACTCAATTTATGGTGCAGTTACCTGTTAAGGAGTGTATACATAATATAAATAACTGGGTGAAGTGACAGAGGTCAGCTAAAATTCAGAAGTCCACAAACCACAGAAAGTTAGTTTTCCATTAAGGAAATACTTATAAGAAACTGAACCAGGATACAGCAAAGAATAAGGGACAGGAAGAAAGTTTGTAATTGCATTACCGCAATGTTCTACAAAATCAGACTTCAATTTCTGTCAAAGTTTTGGAGCTAAAAATGCCTCAAGTTTCTTGGTGAGTAGTATGAACAATTGCGTAAGTACTGTACTCTGACAATTTCCAGCATGATTCCATCCAAGTTGATGTGACAAGGTAGGATAAGGTCATTTGTATTTGGGTATTTTTATGCATGTGTATAACTTTGTTGATTTTGTTTGCAAAAATGAAAAATTTCCAAATGTTCACAGGAAGTATAATGAAGTATTTGGAAGATCAAGTAAAATGTCCTTCCTTATTCTTTGTCCCTGCCTCATTCTTTCTCCCACACTTTTAATTTACTAAGTTGTGATCGAAATCATTCGTGAATAATGCTGGGCCAAGCTGAAAATTTGTGACTGAGAGCTGGACCCTCGTCATCACCACGCACTTTGTCACTGAGAAAGGGTAACCCATGGTAACTAAGCTCCCATGAGTTAAGGGGCAGAGAGCCTCCCCTCCCTGCTGCTCTATAAAAGAGACCTAAGGGAGGGACCCTACTGCCTTCTAGCACTCAGTCTGGGCAAAGGTGCGGGAAGAAAAGCCCAGGATCTCGGGAGCAGAGTGCATAAGCTGCAAGGCCAAGCATGCCACCTAACTTCAAGCTCCAGTGTCACTTCATTCTGATCTTCCTGATGGCTCTAAGAGGAGAGAGCCGGTACCTAGAGGTAAGCCATCCCTAGATTGACCCATCATACATTTCTTATGATTGTTCAGCCTTGACAGGCAGGCAGGTGGCCTCTGCTATCAACCTTTTATGAGGTTAGCTCTTTCTTTCCTCTGTATTGGATCCTTTCCCCCGGTTTCGCCTAGACCTATCTTTCTCCTTGCCTCTGAGCATCTATACTGCCTGCTTTTCTCTCGCCCCTGGGGATGCCCTGGTCTGAGGGGAAAGGGTCTAAGACCTTCCCATTGTCTCCAGACACCCAAGGAGGCATTGACTTTCCTTTCACTTTGCTGCGAGGCAGATAGGGTGCCCAGCTCCTGGTGCATTTTCTTTCTCACGTCTTGAACTTTTCTGAACGGACCCATTTTCCTTGTCAGCTGCAAGAAACCGCGGAATATGACCCTTTCCTACTCTTCAGCACCAACCTGAAGCGGGACCTGGCTGGGGAGCAGCCTTACCACCGTGCTCTGCGTAAGTCGGGGCTCGAGTCCGCTGGCGCCTGGGAGGCTGGGAGGTTAGGGTTGGACACCTAGTGTTAAGTGCCTCCCGGGATCTTACGGCGCGAGGTGGCCGTGATCTCCTGGGTGTGATCCCCTTTGCTAAGGATGAGATCGGGAACCCCGAGCAGCCGAAGCTGAGCCGGGCTCGCTGCAGTGCGCGCTGCAGAGCCGGAGAAGAGAAGAGCGAAGAAGGGTCGCCTGAGGCTGGCGCGGAGAGAGCTACAGTCCTGGATGCCTGGTGCCTTTCCCTTCCCCAGGGTGCCTGGACATGCTGAGCCTCCCGGGTCAGTTCACCTTCACCGCCGACAGGCCGCAGCTGCATTGCGCCGCGTTTTTCATCGCTGAGCCGGAGGAGTTCATCAACATCCACTATGACCTGGTCTCCATCGACTGTGAGGGCGGGGACTTCCTAAAGGTAAGGCGCCCGTCATTGCCTGAAAGGGGGTAACCGGAGGATTGGAAAGGGCTGGAGTGCTGCTACCGCCTTGGTAAGCAGATGACACTTCTCAATTAGACACTCTGCTGGTGTTGGAGAGGCGCGCTCGGGCTCCCAAGCTGCAGGAACTTGGTTCCAACTCCTAGAAAGACCTATCCCGATTGCCTGTAGGGCCGTTGCTGCTGGACGCTGCGCGGTTTAAACTTTTCTTCGAGGCCCTGGGAAATTGAAAATTAGCAGCTTGAAACGTTGTGATGCAATCTGAAGCAGACAAAATATAATGAAAACTAACTGGCAGGAAGTCCAACTAGGAAGCCAGTCTTGGTGAGAATGCCAGACACATACGTTTGAGATCCAAGCCCTTTTTCCTGCTGACCCCCTCTCTGCGTGTGTGTGTGTGTGTGTGTGTGTGTGTGTGTGTGTGTGTGAGAGAGAGAGAGAGAGAGAGAGAGAGGAGGAGAGAGAGAAGAATAAGTTTTTGTACACTGGCAGATAAAATTGCTGCCCCTGTTTTTTCTTTTGCTACCTATTTTTGAGATATTTTGTTCATATTTCAATAACTAGAGGAAAGAAAGGAGCTGAATGAAATCCAAGTTATGCTTTGGTGGAATTCTTCTGAAGGTGAGATATAGAAAATATGATCAAAATAAAAATGTATATTATTTATGATTTCATTTTACCAAAATGGTTGAAATGATAAAAATAAAGTATAAGAAAATCTCTCTATTTGACAACATCAAGTCTTATACATAAAAAAAGCATTAACTGGTTAATAATATTACTTGCAATGAACTTTCACAGTCAGAATACATACAAATGGAAAGGAAGCAGGCAGGGGGTCCGCTGCCAATTTCTCACTTACCACTGAAGGCTTACTGCTGGGTAACTTTTCCCCCATTTCAACATACCCATGATCTCAGGAATTGATGAAAGTGACCATCTGTGTCTGTATTGTTATTTTTTGGAAGGTATTTGATGGTTGGATCCTTAAGGGGGAGAAATTCCCCAGCTCCGAGGATCATCCTCTCCCCACCACTGAGCGGTACATAGATTTCTGTGAGAGTGGTCTTAGCCGAAGGAGCATCAGATCCTCCCAGAATGTGGCCATGATCTTCTTCAGGGTCCATGAACCAGGAAATGGTTTCACACTAACCATAAAGACAGACCCCAACCTCTTTCGTAAGTGATTTTCCTGCATTCTCAGTAATAAGTCAGGACTTGGGGAATGAGGGGAGTCAAATTGCTTTTCCAAAATAGCATTATCTCACAGACTTAGAAAATTTGAACTGAGAAATGATGTGAATGGAAATTCACTTATAATTGGAAATGATCTAAGGGTTATTTTCTGATCATTATTATGAAAATCAAGTCACACTTGTTAATTTATTTCCCAGGCTAAGTAGTATACTAATTTAGGGTGGATACAATTCTATTTTTTTCCTCCAAAGTCTTGTTCAGATCTCCTAAGATACTACAATGTTTTCAGTGGGAAACATCAATTTCCCAAGTCATTCCACTGATCCAGGATAAGCTTGAAGGATGAGATATGAAGTTGTGATCTAGAACTACCTAGGCAAAAACTGAAAGGCTGCATAATCAGAGACATGGTGGACAGATGTCATGTCCTGAGCAGAGGATTGAACCAGAATACTTTTGTGTTGTCTTCTGAAACTGAACTCACCACCCTAATTTATTTCATTTCTGGTGGAGACACACATATTCTATAAAACTACAGTTCAGGCCTGAAGCCCATTATTTTAATTAAATCGAGTTCACTCATTGGCTTATTTTTTCCTATTAGAAGAAAAACATTTTTAAAAATCAGAAGATGAAAGAATATCAACCATTTAGGTTACATATACTAGTATTAATATTAATACTTCAAGAAGTTGAAGGATGGGGCCTAATCTGCCCAAGAATAATGTACTACTAGTCTTCTGATTTCTATTTTTTAAAAAATAAACAATAATTTTTTTGAAAGAAGCTCTCCTGCCTCCAGAAAAGGCAGTTTCTGAGGACTGGTATAGAATAATTCTTGAGGACAAAAGAAAATGTTTCTCCTACATTTGGTGAGAAGTCAAAAGAAGTCTTCTAGAATTATGAAATTTCAGTTCTTTTTGAAATTAAAAGTGTGATTAAAAATATAAGAAGGAGGCAAGAGGTGGGTTAATCAGACTTTTTCTGATTAACCAGGAACTTTTGCTATAATCAGCAAAAAATGCAAATTCTTCTGTTTCAAAGTTAGAAAAATAAATACAAGTCTAGATTTGAGATACAAAACAAAAAAATTTCCAGAAATTCCGGAGAGTAATTGAATGTTAAAAGCTTACCTTTTGGGGGCTGGGATTGTGGTTCAGTGGTAGAGCGGTTGCCTGGCACATGTGAGGCACTGGGTTTGATCTTCAGCATCACATAAAATAAATAAATAGATAAGTAAATAGAATAAAGGTATTATGTCCATCTACAACTGATTTTTTTAAATTTGTTTTAATCAATATCACTGAACATTTGGCAAATATTTATTAGACTTAAGCTTGCTATTTTTCCCAGCCTATCTTGTTGCTATTTTAAAATAAAATTATTTGTTTATTTTTATTAATTTTTTTAATATTTATTTTTTGGTTATAGGTGGGTACAATATCTTTATTTTATTTTTATGTGGTGCTGAGATTGAACCCAGTGCCTAATGCATGCTAGGCAAACGCTTTACCTCTGAGCCACAACCCCAGCCCTATTTGTTTATTTATTTATTTATTTTTTTAAACAACATTATGGCTCCAAATTCTATGAGTGAAGACTTCAGACAGACAGAGTTAAAGCCTCACCTTTAAGCCTGGATTGTTCCATATTCCTAGCTTGAACCTAGATCCTAGTTGACAGAAGTCTTCATAGAACAATACACCAGTTAGTATTGTTTGTCTGGTTAACAATTCATGTCTTGTTGTTGTATAAAACAGAACCCTGTGAGATAAAGTGAGAAGCCCCCTTGCGCCCAGGGTCTCCTGACAATATCTAAATATCAGTGATGATTTATTCCCCGACTCTTTCCTTTCTCCAAATCGTCATGTGATATATATTCTCTTCCTGGCACAAGATTCTAGGCCATGAACATAAATCTAGGATAAGGAGACAATAAACTTCTATTAAAACCCAGCAAACCAAGTAATGCAAATGTAACATTTTGTTTCCTACAAAGCTTGCAATGTCATCTCTCAGACTCCAAATGGAAGATTCACCCTGGTAGTTCCACACCAGCATCGAAACTGCAGCTTCTCCATAATTTATCCAGTAGTGATCAAAATATCTGATCTTACTCTGGGACGCTTACATGGTGTTCAGTCAAAGGTGAGTGACTTACTTGCTTCCTAATCATTTGGTAAAGCCACAGCTTTATCAGAGGAAAAGGAAACCTGGCATCAGCAAATTGGAGTATCATGTCCCTGTGGTTATTAAATCTCATGTTTGCCCCAGCTTCTTTAACAAAAGCCCTCTTCTATTTCTGTTATGCTGTCAGAACCCTACTCAGGTGCCCATTCTGACTATTTCAATACTTTTCTTGTGATGTAAGAAATGCTTTCAACTGGTAAAGTTGTAGTATGTAATTACAATTGAACTCTCTTGTACTTGCCTCTTTTACAAAAATTCTCTCCTAGCAGAACCTCCTGTGAGTCATCTACACAGCTGTTTCTGATTATTGGAATTTTTTTTTTTTGACATGAAGGAAGTATCTCATTGACAGAACTGTGGTATGAAGGAATGCTAACTGTAGCATAAAATACAAAATTGGATTTTTTATATTTCAAAGGCAGTAAAGTTTTGAGGAGTTGTTTGAAATACATTAAATTTTATCCATTTTGCATGAAAATATTAGTTGATAATCCATATCAATTTTCTTTCAAATGAATTTCTGAATGGACCTTAAAATTAATGTTGAACTTATCCACATTTACTTGTACTGGTAGCATTTTCCCTATGAATCATCCTTATTTCCTATTACTTTCTCATATGACCAAGTTAAGATGACACATATTTGCTGGTATCAAAGTGGTCATAGTGGGCTGGGATTGTGGCTCAGAGGTAAAGCGCTTGCCTAGCATGTGAGAGGCACTGGGTTCGATCCTTAGCACCACATGAAAATAAAATAAAGATACTGTGTCCACCTATCACTAAAAAATAAATATATTTTTTAAAAAGATAGTCATAGTTCCTAATCAGACAGATTCAAGTGAAGCCAAATTAATAGGACCGGGACTGAGAAAAGCAAATTTCCAATTTCCTCTAGTCCTAAATTCATGGGTCACTGCCATTTTTTTTTTTTTAAAGTTGGACCTTAATGGAAGAATAGTTCTTTGATAAGCACATCTTTTAATATCTTTGCTCTAGTCTTCTTGGCTTGATATTGTTTGCATGCCATTCTTGATGTAAAAGGCGGTGTGGTAGCAGATGAAGAGATCTGTCCTTTCAGTACTGAGGCTATAAGAAATAATGTTAGTGTTTCCTCTTAACAGTTTAGAGCCTCCAGTGTCCTAGGCATTTATTCTTCTCAGTGAGACCCTTGTCTCTAAATAAAATACAAAATAGGGCTGGGGATGCAGCTCAGTGGTTGAGGGCCCCTGAGTTTAATCCCGGGTACCCCCCCCCCAAAAAAAAATATTTTCTGATGCTGAAAATTGGCAATGAGCAAGACAGGTCCTAAGACAGGCAAAGCTGCCATGCATTTCTAGTAGGGGCAAGTGCTGTACAGAAAATGCAGCTCAGTGGTTTGATAGACAATAAACTGGGAACAAGGAGGTGAAGAGAGGGAGGAACTATCTGATATAAGGTAATCAGGAAAGAAATCTTCTAAGAAGGAGACATTTAAAGCGAGACCTGAGTAATAGATCAGGAGCCAGATCTGGGGAAAAAAGAAAGAGTAAAGGCAACAGTGGTGCTGAGGCTGAGAGACAGGACTGAACCTGCTGGGTTCTAGAAATGGGAAGAAGACAAGGTAGCGGGGACTTGTGTGAGATGTCTTAGGGAGATGGGCAACACAATAGTGTGGAGAACCCTGTTGCCCATATTAAATAAAATGAGAAACCATTGGAGAGGTCAAACAGGAAAGCAACATGACCTGATATATATTTATGTCTAAAGGCCCTCTGGCTTCCACACAGTGAATGGGCTGTAGGGACCATGTTGCTGTTTTCACGGTCCTCAGGAGATAGATGTCTCTTTGGTTATTATTTGTGTATCCATCAAGACTATTTCCTAAAATAAAACATTCCAGCTTTCTTATGCATTGGGAAGTGAGTTTCACCAAGGGAAGCTTCAGTTTGCACATTGAGTACGGTGGGGAACTCTACATTAGGTACAAGGAGTCTAGGTACTCCTTTGGCACATTGTTGTAACCTAGCAAGAGATGGATAGTAACTTAGAACCTCAAGAAAGACATCTCAAGGATCGCTGCTGAAGAATGGAACCCCAGATAGGTCCCTACTCAACTCAGTTTCTGCCATTGTTTATAAGAAAACTGCATAGGATTACAAAGAAGACAGAAATGTCATTCAACACTTAGGAATAGGTCCACCTAACTTCCTTGTCTCTTGTTCTGGTTCCCTCATTTTAGTTTCCACTTCTTACCAACTTTTAAAATTCCCATTTTTTTTCCTCTCTCTCTCACCTGCTGAAATTTGGAACCTAAAGAACTGAGTGGAAACTTTAGTCTGTAGAGATGTTCCCCCAGGACATCCTCTACTCAAGGGAAAGGCAGTTTAGTCTTTTTTCCCTTCACCACTAAGTAGCTCATTAACTCTCAATTCACAAACATGAAACCTTGTGCACAGTGGGGCTAATTAAATCTCTATTTCATCATTTGATGAAATTATGTGAAAAGAACCTAAGCCTAGAACGCTGCACATAGTAGGCCCTTTAAAAATTGATGCCCCAGGGCTGGGGTTGTGGCTCAGTGGTAGAGTGCTTACCTAGCATGTGTGAGGCACTGGGTTCGATTCTCAGCACCACATATAAATAAATAAATAAAGGTCCATCAACAACTAAAAACATCTTTTAAAAAAAATTAAAAAAAAAAAAAGATGTCCCCACCAGATGCTGCACACCTCTGATTCCAGCAACTTGGGAGGTTGAAACAGAAGGATTGCTAGTTCAGGACCAGCTTCAGCAACTCAGTGAGGTCCTAAACAAATTAGTAAGACATTTTCTCAAAATAAAATTAAAAGGGCAGAGTATGTAGCCTAGTGGAAAAGAGCCCCTGAGTTAAATCTCCAGTGCCAAAACAATAAAAAACAAAAAACATTTGCCAATTCATTAGCTAAGCAATTGCTATTATAAGTTATCTTCTAACTTGTAGTTTCATTCCAGCTGTTTTTCAGTGTCTTTCTAAATGTTGGAGTGTGTGTGTGTGTGTGTGTGTGTGCGCGCACGCGCGCACGCATGTGCGCACACATGTACATGTGTGTGTTTTAAAGTTCCCTATCTAGATTTTGGTTCCTGTGTGTCAGGGTCTATCTGTTTAACTTCTGGGCAACTGTCACATGCCACTTAATAAATTCACTTCCATGAAGAAAAGATTCACAGGCCAAACTGACTACACAAATTGTGGGAGACAATATGAAGTGAAAATGTGAGGACCATTATTTTAAAAATTATTAGGAATTTCAACACAGAGACCATAGAGCATTAAACCAAGCAGAGGTCCCTTCTGAACTTTGAAGGTGATGATAAGTCTAGCTAACTTGGGCCCCCAAATCAGAATTTTATCCTTTTAAAAATATACTCATAATCAAAATAAACTCTTATTGGTAGAAAAGATGTGTTCCAACGTGGAGAAATTCTTTTCTAAAGAAGAGAAAGTGGTGAGTCAAAGGGAAAAACCAATGTGCATGCCCAACTTATAAAATGCCGATAATCAACTTAATTTAACTCTGACTTCATGCATTAAGAAATTCAAATAATTCAGTATGTATGTCCAAGAGATTTGAAAAGCAAAGCATTTTTGGATTCCATTTTCATACATTTTATATCAAGCTTCCGGCCCTTAAGCTTAAAATTATGAAAAAAATATACCAGGCACACACATTTAAAAAAATGATTACTCAACTGGTTTAGAAAAGCAATTCTTGTGATTTTTTTTCTGTTAAAAATGTCTTCATTTCCGGAGTCTCAGATGTTAAATTCAATGATGCTGCTAGGATGTTGAAGGCTGATTGAGTGAATTCGACTATCCACCATTGACCAAATAGTTTGGCTTTTGTAATTTGTTTAAATGTATTCTTTGGTGCTTTATTCTCTTAGAAACCCCCTGCAGGTTGTGGGGGAATAGGAGACTTTGTGGAATTGCTGGGTGGAACTGGATTGGACCCTTCCAAGATGATGCCTTTAGCTGATCTTTGCTACCCCTTTCATGGCACTGGTGAGTTAACATTTTCTTGCATAAAATACCCAAATTTTTAAAAATACATTTTGGAAGATGAATTCCACCACAAAAATCTTTCATTTTATATGTTGAGCCAGTATGGAAATACAGTTAGGCCTATGTATAATATCAAACTCTATTACCAAAAATCTGACATAAAGAGATAAACCTATGGAACAATTAGGACATATATTTAAGGTTGGTCCTAAGTAGAACTGTGAAAAATACAAAGCTTTTCAATTCTTTCCATGTTCTTAGTGGTCCCTGCTTTCATTTCCTGAAGACTAAAGGGTTGCTTACCAACTAAAATGATTCAATAGTAGATCTATCATCAATTAATAATAGTATAATAATGAAATACTATTTAAGTTTCTATGTATGTGAATAAGTGTATTAGTCATAGTAAATGAACACCAAATCGGTAAGCTTTTTCAGAAATTTTCTGAACTGTCGAATATCCCTAACTTGTGATAGCCAAACCAGTCTCTCAAAGGCCAATAGGATCCAGAGGTAAATTCTGAAATCCAAAAGTGGGCACCAGTTATAAATGACTTAGTGCATAGTTGCCAAATAGAACCAGATCTTCTTTATCAGGAACCAATGAGGATTTTCCATGTCATTATTATGCTCAGGTCAGTGAGGATAGGTGGACATTACTGATGCTCATACCAATCTAATCAAATATGTATGTGTGTGTTGGGGGGTGGATTATATAAAATATTTCTGTAAGAGTCACTTCCATACTTGTACTTTAGGTACAGGAATCTCCGGTTACCATTACAGAGACAAAAGTAAAACAGGAATGAAACACACAAGTGTCTAATCTTAAAGACACTTCCTGTCCTGTCACCACAGATATTATCAGCTAGGTAATGAAGCTGCAAAACAGACAATCATTTTGTTAGTTGTGCCCTGGTATAATTAAAACCAGATAAACACACCAGTATTTTCTCTCTGAACTCATGCTGGTACCTGGATATCTCTGAAACAGAATTAATACACACAGGTAAGAAGAACTAAGGCCCGATGTGTCCTCTACCCTTTGTGGATACCCTGAATGAAAAAGTTTCAGGTAAAGAAAACAGAGACAGAAGCAAGGTACAGAGGGCAAAGTAAAAGAGGTGCTCATCTGAGCTGCCAGCTTTATTTATATCCATAGGTTACCTTAGTTCATTGGTATCATTAGAACATATTTTTCAATGAATAAAGTTACTGTTATATGGGCAGGTTAGGGCTCAGTGACATAACTGTGTTGTCTAACAAGAGAGTTTCTTTATTTCTAAAAGCTGAGTGTCTGAGATTAAGGTCAAGGCTGATAAGACTCTAGCACAGATCCTCCTCACGAAGGACATTACCATAGCAGCTAGGCATTGAGCATGTATTAGTAATCTTACTAGTTCCTGGGAAAAACTGCAGAATATTACAACCACGGGAAACAGGGGCCCGTTACCCACTGTGAGTTTGCTCACCAGAGGAAAACTGCCTTGTACATTTCCAAAGCCAGAATCCTTACAGTTTCAGATGAGATTAAAGGCAGAACTGAGCTCAAGGAAAGCTTTCTCATGGAAGTAAGAAAGGGTGGATTTCTAAAAGCCCACTTTGCTGAAGATTAGACCGTTTATGCCAACACCTGAGCCCTGGTTCCAGATGTTTGTATGCATGGTTTTTCTGACCTGGCTCATGTTTCCTCTGAGGCACTGCATGGAGAGAAGACCTTGAGGATGTGTATGTGAATAGGGTAAAAAGATTGGGACTTAAGGGCTGGGTTGTGGCTCAGTGGTAGAGCACTTGCCTAGCATATGTTTTTTTTTTTTTTTTTTAAAAAAAAGACTGGGACTGAATAACATGCATGCCTTAAAATTTAAATAATTGAAGCAAAGTTCATTTTTTTCTGCTGGAATTATATGACTTCAATAAGGCAAAAGGATAAGACTAAGGCCCCAAAATAATTTTTTTTTTGCTTAAATTATCTAGATAATGAAAACCAATATTAAGATGCTTTTAAGGCTTGACCTATATCACTCTGTGGCTCATTTTAGATATTTTAGATTTTTTTATCCACTCTGTTTTTATGAGTTTCTCCTAAATTGTTCAAAAAATATGTAGATATAAATTTAATTAGAAATTAGGTGAAATTTTAGACAAATTATATGCAGATTAACTATAGGAAATAAGGCATATTATATAGATTAAAATCCAAAGCAAGATCTGAAAAAAAGAATGATTTTCAGGGCTGGGGATGTGGCTCAAGCGGTAGCACGCTTGCCTGGCATGCGTGTGGCCCAGGTTCGATCCTCAGCACCACATACAAATAAAGATGTTGTATCTGCCGAAAACTAAAAAATAAATATTAAAAATTTTAAAAAAGAATGATTTTCCAAATTATTAAATAAAGATAAATTTGGCTCTCCTGGAAAAAAGTTACCCTAGGATCTCTGGAACTTATTTAAAAATGATTATACAGTTTATATTTGTTGTATTTTCAAATTGACTTTACCTCACTAACATTACAGAATTGTTTTACTTCCTTTAAGCCCAGGTAATATTTGTAAGCTACCTGTTACACAATTACAATGCCATTTCTTAGAATTTAGCCACACCTTAAGAAACAATAGGTATGGGCAGGGGGACTGAGCAGAAAGAATTATTGTAAGACTGAAAAATCTTGCTTCAGGAACCAATTTGAGGCTAGAGAAATAAGAAGAAAGCAATTTTTAATAAAATATGACATTTAATATATAACTGTTCATGCATAACTTCATGAAAAGAGATATAAAAGTTGTCAGATGCTTATACAGATAATGAAAATATTGAATGTGAGACAAGTAAGAATGTTTTAAGCTATTCCACATGAGAAAGAAAAAAAAAATGAGGAAGCATTCAAGTGGACAATAGAACACAAGAGGGTATAATCAGGGCATTTCTACACGTTGCACATGACTATTTTTTAAAATTTTATTTATTTAATTTAATTAGGTATACATGAAAGCAGAATGCGTTTTGATTCATTGTGCACAATTGCAGCACAACTTTTCATTTCTTTGTACACAGTGTAGTGTTGCATTATATGTGCAGTCATACATGTATCTAGGGTAATAATGTCCATCACATTCCACCATTTTTCCTGCAACCATTTTTTTTTCCGTTGTTGATGGATACAATACCTTTATTTATTTTTATGTAGTGCTGAAGATTGAACCCAGTACCTAATGCATGCCAGGCAAGTGCTCTACCACTGAGCCACAACCCCAGCCCTGCCCCATGCAAATGATTTTAAATGTGTAAATCAGACTTGTTACCTAGACGAAGAAAATATTTTCATCTACATAAATATCCAGCAGTACATTCCCTCAGCAACTCCAAATGTTGTGACAATCATACACTGCCCCTACCAATGTCCAACCTCTCCCTGGAGGGCAGTATTGTCCCCATCAAGAACACTGACCCAAGGCCCCTATGCAGAGATGACTCATTACCTTTGCCTTCTTTAACACCCTAGCTTTGCAGGAGAGCAGGAAAAAGGCCTGGAGACATTCTCTTGCCTCTTTCCAGCTAGTTGTGGTTTACAGTGTTCTTGTACATGAGGAAAAAGGCTGAGTTCAATTTCAGGATTCTTATTAATTATATACTACAATAAAAACAAAAACACATTTCAACTAAAAGTTGCTCGAGTACGATAAATGAAAATTCATTGCCTCACTTTTGTTGTGCTTAAATAATCTAGTCAACAGCAATGAGTTGGCTATGGTTTCTAACCTGCTGGGAAACTTTTATTTTTTCCATCAATTATAGCCCAAGTGAAAATTGGCTGTGACAACACTGTGGTGCGCATGGTCTCCAGTGGAAAACAAGTAAATCGTGTGACGTTTGAGTATCGTCAACTAGAACCATTTGAACTGGAAAACCAAAATGGAAATAGCATCCCAGAATTCTGTTTGTCCAATCTTTGAATAACCAGCTCAGTGATTTCCATGCTGCTAGCTAAGTGAGTTCTTCATGGCTATTGCATGTCATTTTGATGACCAGACAGGGAAAAGCCTTTCAAGCCAGTCGGTATTCCTTCCAGGCCATGAACATATATATGGACATTCATTTTTGTACTTTGCTTCCTTTTTGTTTGTAATATCTCAATGAACACATGGTAGAAAATCAACCCTGCTTGGCTGAAAACAAATTTTAACTGAAAATACTTGTAGTTGTTTGGTTTGCTACAAATCTTAACTGTTAAGACAGTGTTAAGGAATGTGCAATGAACAGTTGTATCCCCAAAGGAAGTCCTACAAAAAAAGGGAAAATTATGGCAACTGTAGTTGTACAACAGAAAAAAAATTAAAAGTCTTGTGTATACCAAAGGAGTAGCATCTGTTTATTTATAATTCTGCTTGCAATAGATAGAAGTTGTAACTATTATTTATTGATTTGTAATTGGTATTTATTGATTTATGTTTAACAGAACTTTGTAGCAAGGAAAAAACTTTCCATCCATAAGTTGAAATGTGAATAAACATAGTCAGAAGGTTGGCACCTTGACGTTGCGTTTTGTTTTCATGAGTGCTACCTCCTTTGTTACCCTCAGAAAATAATGTTCCCATGTGATGCAGAACCAAATGCTTTGCTGATTCACTTTAAGTTTTTTAGAGCTAGTAGAACTCTGGAACATTTAAGGTGAATTATGTAGGGCACAGGTAGAATTGCAATGTTTGCACAAGGAACACTAACTGTTCCTAGCAGGGAGCAAGGAACTGACATCCATTTCCCCCTATCCTTGCAGGAGACTCAGGATACATGTCTGTCATAGGGGATGCACTTTTCAACAAAAACAGCAAGGACCTTTATAAGTCTTGTAGATACTGCTTGTAGAAAACTGAGTTCTTCTTTGGTTCTGAAAACAACTTACTATTGACTGAGCCTTGTCCATGTTTGGCTTGAGATTAAGCATGGGGTATGGAAAAGACATCTTAGAACAAAATGAGGTTGTAAGAAATCCTCTTAGAATTTCAAAGTAAAAAGAGTTCTTTACTTTGAATAGTGGCAGGAAGCTTCAAATTATGCCATAATTAATGTCCTGATTATGACTCCTAAAACATATTTAATATAAACTTTATTGACATATACAGGGATCCCATGTCCTGGGCTTAACAAAAATCTAAAAAAAAAAAAGAAAAAAAAAAAAAAAACCAGGCATAAGGAAGAATTCTGATTGAATGGGTTAGAATCATCTAGAATTTAACACAAGTTTTGGCTCAGCAGAATTTTTTAAAAAAAATTTTTTTAGTTGTGTATGGATTCAATGTCTTTATTTTATGTGGTGCTGGGATCTAACCCAGTGCCTCACATTTGCGAGACGAGTGCTCTACCACTGAGCCACAACTCTAGCCCCTCAGCAGATATTTTTGAATGAGTGTCTATTTTAGCAACTGAATGAATAAATACATGGACAGATAAATGGATGGGTAGAAGAATGTGTGGATGATGGATCGACTATACAATCCTTGAATAGTTACACACAATACAGGACTCCTCAATTCATAAAAAATAAATCCTTTGAAGTTGAGCCCTGTTATCATTGTCTCTCTAGCCACCTAAGAACTAGGGGAGTTATATCACTGTCAAAAGTTTCTGGCTCTTAACCCTCTTGACTCAATTATGCTAAGTGACATGTGGTTTCCCAATGCAGGTAAGACAGTCATCCCTGAGGTTCCTTCTAGCCCTGACTTTCTGCAATCATTCATTTGTGACATATTTTACTTCAAAACTTTTTAGTGCAGATAGCTTACATTATTTGAGAGTGTGGACACACTAGGAAACTGTTAATATCTTCTTCTTAGGGTGGATAACTTAAATCATTCCACAAGTATGGGGCAGGTTTCTGAAAACAAAATGTTAGATCTGATATCTGAGGGAGAGTTTCAAGGTGCATCTTCATCCATGGAGTGAGTGAACATTGCGATGAAAATGGTCAGATGTGGGTCTCTAAGATCATCCACTCCAGAGTCAATTCTGCTTGAATCTTAGCTGTACTGCTTACTTGGATTAAGTCACTTAGTCAGACTCCACTGGTCAGTGTTTAATCTGTAATTTTAGGGTAATAAAGTTACCTTCTTAAGCTGAAGATATAGCTCAGTTGGTAGAGTGCTTGCCTTGCATGCATAAGCCCTGGATTCTAATCCCCAGGACCACACACACACAAATACACACACATGAAAGGTACCTTCTTCATAAAGTTGTTGTCAATATTAAATGCTTAAATATGTCAAAAGCCTAAAAACGGTGCGTTGCACACATATTGACTATTATTTTTATTATTTTTTTCTTCTAAGCAAATAAACCACCCCATCCTCTTAATGGGCATTTGCTTTGTGCTCTGGAGGGTTTGAACTGACTCAGTGATGCTGTTTCATCCCAGGACATTTTTGAGGAAGTTGGGGTTAGTTAGGGCTGTTGTCAGAGACCAAGAAGCTGAGAAAGTTATGGTAACACTTGATGATGGATTGTTATCAGATCTTACCTATTTTCTTATCCCTCTCCTTATAGCTGACTCCTGTCAGGAGGCCCTGTATTACTCGAGGACCAATGCTGACCTGGACAAAAGGAACTTGAACCAGCTCTTATCTGACATGCTGTTCATGAATGAGCCATCTCACAAATAGCCTGTCCTGATGATCTGTGCTTGTGCCCTGTTCCCCATGACTGTAATCTTCCTAGATCTGGGTTATTCCATCCCAGCTCCTGCCTCATCCTGTTCCTATCCCCCACTCCTACTCCTAGTCTTCCTAAATACCTATTGGGTCACTAGGTCTCTACTACTCATGACTGATTCTACCAATTCCTCCTGCCTCTATGCCTGAAACTCTCAGCACTTTGCTCCTGGGTTGTACGTCACTGTGACCATCCCGTCCTCTGGACACTTTCATAGTCCTATTAGTCTCCTCCTCTGCCTATGACATTGGACTTTCTCCTGGTGTCTAAAGCAGTATGTCCTCTTCACTCCCAGCTGCTTCCTGGTACTATTGCTTCTTTTAAGTGGGTAAAGATGCTATGTGTTCACCAAAACTCATTTTTTCTACTTCATGAGTGAAGATTTAGACTACATTTTCCATCGTCCCTTCCAGTTAGGTTTGGTGATGTCACTGAAATCCAACAGGAGGAGTGTGGGCAGGTGATGGAATCATGGGATCCACACCTTCTCTCTCTTCCCCTATGGATTGTCTAGATACAGGTTTCTTCAAACAGAGGGCTCCAATGCTGTACAGGAAGACAGAGCCAGGATGCAAGAAGCCTGGTCTCTGAATGACCACAGGTAAGGCTGCCTACTGATTAGGAATTTCCATACTGAGCTTTATGTGAATGAGAAATAAACTTTTATTTTGCTAAGCCCCTGGGATTTTTAAATATTCTATATAATTGAATGTTACCCTACTTTATACTGTGGGCCTGTCTAGATCCAATTCTCAGCTAATTCTCCAGGTTTCCTGTCCAGTTTTGCTATAACTATCCAGGAAGCCCTGACTCAGTTCTCTTCCAATGTAAAATACTTCAAATGCACATCTTTGATTTTATGATCTTCAAGCTTTCACCGAAGTAGCAGTGTCCAACTTATCCATATCCCTTAAATAATTTTATAATTGCAAATTTTAGACCCCTTGGAAACTTATAGGTGATCTCTCAGAAAAGAAAAAAAAATTCATATACACAAATACACGTTCAAATCTCCTGAGAGTTCAGAGACCCTTGAAGTTCACAGAACTCATGCTTTATGTGTAAATAATGAGAAACGTCACTTTTACACCAGCTTTCTCCTACTGGGTTGCCCTGTCTTCCGTACTAAATAAAAGCATTCACTAACTTGGCTGTAAATGTGCTCATAATAGCAACTTAATTTCTCTGGTCCTTCATTTTATCATTTACGTTGCCTTTTTCTTGCTGAGTTTTTCTTCATCTGCCATGTAGTTTTTCCTTGGGAAGGACATACATTTGACTTGGAACAAATTTTAGGGACAGTTTTTTCTAGGACTGAGAACTACAGTTCAGTGTTCAGTGTTTGCTTAATGTGTGAGGCCCTGGATTTGATCCCTAGCATACACACATAAAAGTTTTTTCATATTTCTCCCAACAGAAAAAAAATTTCTTTTCTTGCTATTGAGCAGGAAAACAATGTTGTCTGGGCTTGCCTGAAGAGTAGAATCTTCATGAAAGAAAACAAATATTTGGTGGACAGGCTTTACTTCTAGGCAGTTTATTTGTGTGCTCAAAAACACCCAACAGAGACTTGGGTAAAGGAACTCCTGTTATAGGATAATCGTATGAAATTGTATCTGAATATACTCTTCTCTGTGCAGTGAAAACTCAAGGAAAAGAGACACACCTTTGTATGTTCAAATAAGCAGGTTGAATGGCCTCTGTTTGAATAGATCATTTGTAATTATTAACATCCATTTTTAAATTTGAAAGTTTTTCCATTCAAACTACATTAAGAAAGAAGACTCACATATATGGAGAGGAAATCTGGTAGACAAAAAGAAGGCTTGATTAGAGAGTTTGAACACATAATGAAAATCAAAGTATTTAAATTGGACTCTGGCCCTTGCTCTTGGTAACTGCAGTGCATTCAATCCCTCTGCAGCTGAAAAATGGAAAACAGGAAATATCTTGTGCTTAGGGAGGAAAAGCCTTAATGTCAACACTAAGGCATGGAGGAGGATGAGCCCCAGGGAACCATGAACTTTGTAACTACAAGGGTTATCAGATATTGGAGGTTCCCAGCAAGAAGATGGGGTCTTCCTGCTTACTCCTCTCCCTTGCTCAGGTTCGTAAGCAATTGTGTCCTGGGTTAATGGCTCTGATGTGATCAAGCTGGCCACAAGCATAGGCAAAATCAGTGACTACCTGTGTGCAATTTGAGGGAGAACAAAAGTCCATTTGACTGAAAATATTGCTCTCTACTGAAATGGCCACCCTTACTATTCTTTCCTTTTGTTCTTTAAAATGTATATCAATGAAATATTACTCAGCATTAAAAGAGAATAAAACCATGGCATTTGCAGGTAAATGGATGGAGTTGGAGAATATCATGCTAAGTGAAATAAGCCAATCCCAAAAAAAACAAAGGCAGAATGTTTTCTCTGATAAGTGGATACTGATCCATAATGGGGGTGAGTGGGAG